CACAATTGAAACCCATCACAAATGTTTTTCCAACGTTCACATTAAGACTTAAAGCAACTTCGCAGCATTTTAAAAATATCCTTATATTATTGACCCGATCCACATCAGCATCACAAAAGAGCAACGTATCGTCAGCATATTGAAGTAAGAAATACAAGGACCCCCATTTGGTAACTGAAAATCAACAAAATTCCCATTAGACTCAATGTTTCGAACAAACAAGCTAAAGCACTCTACATAGATTGTAAACATGTAGGGAGAGAGGGGGTCACCTTGACAGAGACCCCTTGTAGCTCTAAAATAACCAATATGGCTACATTTGAATAAAAATGAAAAATGGGCAGATGAGAGGCACTCGAAAATCCAATTTCTCCATTTTTTCCCAAACCCAATATTCTTCATGATCTCTAAAATGATGCTTCATTCAACCATATCATAAGCTTTTTCCATATCCAGCTTAATCACAATTCCAGGAGCACTGTCAAGAATCCGAGAATGAATGCACTCCTGGGCTATCATTACACTGTCCGTGATCAGCCTATCCTTAATGAACGATGTTTGGGGACTCGAAATGATAGACGGCAGAACCACCTTAAGCCTTTCTGTAAGCACTTTTGCCACAATTTTATAGAGACTATTCAAGAGGCTAGTAGGTCTGATATCACATAAGGAAGCGATCACATACTTCTTAGGAAATAAGTGCAATAAGGATAGAGTTAACACCTCTGAAAAGCTCCCCTCTATTCAGAAACCCCCTAACCCTCTCTAGAAGTTCATTGCAAACCAAATACCAAAAGGTTTGGAAAAAGATGATAGGATATCCATCCAGACCAAGAGCTTTATCTCCTGGCAATGAGAATACCACTTGTTTTAATTCAACCAAGGATACATCTTTTTCCAAAAAAGAAACCAAATCAGAAGAAAGAGAATTGAAGCCCACCCTATGCAGCTTAGGGGTAGCTTTAATCTCAGAGGAAAAACCCTTTTTGAAATGTCTAATGATTGCATCAGACATACCAAAATCATCTTTTAGATCAACACACTGAATCATAAAACCAGGCACATCATTTTGCCGAGTGCACGCATTTGCAATAGCATGGAAAAACTTAGTATTCATATCCCCTTCCTTCAACCATTTGACCCAAGATCTCTGCTTCCAATAAAGTTCCTCAACCCTCCTGAGCTCAAGTGACTCATGAGTATAAATGCGTCTATCAGCAATTAACTCTTTAGATAAAATACCGAAGCTTTATACAGCAGAATCCACCGCCTCAATTTTGACCAAAAATTCCTCAATTTTGCTTCTGATATTAAACTCCTTCTCCTTTTTCTAAATAAGCAGCTTGTGTTTAATATTTAGAAGCTTCTTGTGAAGTTGAAAGTCCAGAGAAACAAAAGAGATGGTCTTCTCCCAAGTAATCTTGACAATCTCCATCACATCTTTTTTCTAAAGCCAAACTATTTCCAATCTAAGGTTTTAGACCCTTAGAAATAACTTTAGAACACAGCAGGATAGGGGTATGATCAGAAGAGAGTCGAGGTAAAGCTTTAACCGAAGCCAGAGGAAAACACTCAGACCAGTCATCAAAAACCATGAGTTTATCGAGTTTAGACATAGATAGATTAACAGAACTACCATTGGTCCAAGTATAGACAGTGCCCGAAATTGGAAGGTCTATTAGTGCAAAAGTCTCAATAAATATATTAAATAGTTATATAGCAGCATTAATCGACTCACCACAATTGCATTCATCCGGCCATCTAATAAAATTAAAATCCCCTCCTAAATAAATCAAAAAATCAACTGAATTAAAAATATCAAACATATCATTGACAAAAACTTCTTTAAGATCAAAAGTTTGATGACCATAAGCATTCAACAAGCCCTATTTAAAGTCAAGAGAAGGGCCCACAAAACCAACCAACCAAAAGTTTGATCTCTCCATCACAAAAAAAGAATAAAGGACAGAAGGATCCCAAAGAATCCAAACCCCCAGAAACTCCAACAGAAGCCACCCCCACAAAATCCACAGAACCTGGACCCCAAACTTCCCTAATCCCAGACAAAGTGGGGCAGGGGAGTTTAGTTTCCTGCAACAACAGAACTGTTGGTCTAAATTTAGAAACCAAAAAATGAACATCATTTTTTTGTTTTACGTCACCCAGACCTCTAACGTTCCAAGAAATAACAATCATTTAAAGAAGGTTAACAGAGGAAGAACTTGAGCCCTCCCTGCTAGCACCAAAATAAACATCTTCTAGGAAATTTGCTTCAGCAAGACTATCTCCAAGCATCCCATCCCCAGATGAAGAATCTGAGCTACCCTCGAACACATGATCATCCAAAATGATGACTCCTTGGGGAGTAGCATTAAGCGGCATTTTTCCTCTAGCCTGCAACCTAACTAAGGACCTTGTACCTTTAGAAAACACCTTAGCTTTGTTCTTCATCTTGCCCCTTGAGGCTGATGGAGTTTTCTCTACAGCACCTTCTGACTCCTTACACTCTGAGGCTTTCGCTTTCTTTTCAGCCTTTTTCTTAGCAACGATCTCTTGAAAAACAACTCCAATTGGCACATTGAAGTCCATACTGCAGTCAAAAGAAATAGCACTGACCTTATCCAACTCAGAGTCAGTCTTAACTTCTTCCTTCGAGATATCTATACCAAGAGTTAATTGGGTTATCAGCCACAAACTGAAGCAACAGAGGACGAGAGTCCTGGGGGATAGCATTAAGAGGAGGATCATCCACTGTCATCATAAATTATTCTCAAGAATAGAGTCATGTACAGCAATTAGATTCCTAGCATCTAGAACAGTTTTATCTACATCTTCTTCCAACAACTGAGGCTCTGGATTCTCCTCAACGATCACAATCACCAATGGATCCACCATCAAAGGATCAAAAGGCGGTCTCGAGGTGAAACAAATTCGCCTAGCCCCATTGTGATGATAAAGGGGATACATACTACCATGCAAAGAGAGCAGCACAATGAAAGTCAACGAAGAGAGGTGGCGTTGACTCGCAACCACCAACACCAAGAATAAAAAGAAGGAGCTAGTCTTGCAAACCTTAGGAGCCACAGATAGCTTAGAACCAACATCCAAGAAGTAAGAAGGAGGCACCGCCTTAGCCTACAACTCCCTATCCATAGTCAATGAAAAATCCGGGCCAGCCAGATCCCCGAAAACAGAGCCGAAAAGACTTCATGCAGGGATGCGCCGCCTTCATAATGATTTCCCCCAACATTTTGAGCATCCAAAATAGGTGAACCTGCATTACCATTCTGACTAATTACGCGCCACACCGTTACGAACAACTGACGCAATAGACACCGAGACTTCCACAAAACACCCCACCAGAATCTATCTTTTGCGAATTTTCAAAATTTGAAAATTCGTAACTCATTTCCTTTACTTCAATCCCCACAAAGGAGTCTTTGTCAACATTACAAAATTCCCCACTACAATTAGCAATGTTTCGGATAATATCCAGGATCCACGCATGGAAGCGAATACCAGAAAGACTAATCCAAAGGTTTTCCTTCTGCAAATAAGACAAATGAGCGTTGAAGGTGTCTCCCTTATTGGGCTTGGCTAGAGCGGCCTTAGCATGAGATCTTATAGGCCCTAATTATATAAACTGTTTTAGTTCAAATGGTATAAACAAGCCCGGCCAGACTGACGGGCCTTGAAGGAGTTCCCATAACAAGCCAAGTTCGAACCTCTCGTAGGCACATCGGGCTTGGAACACATTAGCTTAACACATCGAGCACAAGTTGTCCTCAGTCCATGATAATTACGTCCCTAGCTATATCTAGATCATCCCACCCCCTCGAAAATGCCCTTACTAAAAACAAATTGTATTACAAAACGAGGGGTAATCAGTGTCAAAAAAATGTTGGGGAGGGAAGGCCCTGGCCGGGGCATGGGCCTAGTACCTATAGGGCCGGCTTGAGCCCAGCCCAGCTTGGATAGAGCCAAAGAGCCCCTGGCCCAGGCCAGGCCTTGCCGCTATCAAGGCCAAGCTGGGTCAAATACAATTAAACAGAAGACAAGAACCCATGCTAGGTCTTGCTGCTATCAAGGCCGAGCCAAGCCAAATAAAATTAAACAGAAGAAAAGAAAAAAAAAAAGGTTGGATAGTGTGAACTAGGCTAGTCCTGTCGTGGACCTAGCTCAGGCCCGGCAGACCCTATCCTCAAGCCACATGTTGTGGCCCAAACCCTAGTTTTTTAGGGTTGGGCTGTCCTGACCAAGCCAGGCTAATCAGCGGCCTAGCTAATTGTTTGTAAACCAGCATCACTACGTATAGAATATAGAAGAAATTTTGTAAACCAGCATAACTACATATAGAATATAGAAGAATCCCACGAGTTTAAAGGCAGATCCAGCAAATTTCATAATATATGTACCCTTTCTCGTAAGGGCCAACTTGCAAGAAGAAGATGGAGGCACCAAGGCGAGCACCTCTTTTTTATAGCAAAGGGCCATCCATTTTTTCGGCCGCAAAAACATTGTCCTTGTGTTGCATCTTTTTTTTTACTTCTAATTATATTGTTGTGATTGTATATAATGAGATCATGTACCTTTGATACAAAGTAGTCACAATTACATACAACCATCCAATATGAAATTTGATCGCTTTGAATGTATCACAAAGTTCGGGAATTTTTTTTGTTTTTTTTAAGTTTGAACTTGATCAATGAAATAATTGCAGCCATCGAATTTCACATCCAATGGTCAAGATTAATGTAACCACCTCATACCAAAGGTAAATGGTCTCATCCTATACTTTCCTTTCTTATTAAAAAAAAACGTCGATATATCCAAAAAAAAACTAAACCTAAGCCCGCCAGCCATTAAGATCTTACCGTTATAAAATTTTATAGATGGGTAGTGCCGAATGTAAAAGTTTCCCTTGAATAATCTATAGCCAAAAAGAAAAAAGATAGTTAAGAGAGAGAGAGATTATCTCAACAAAGAGATGACACTCCAATTACAGGCAAGATGATGGTATCGTGAAAACTTTCAATATATGGCCTTTTTAAGAACATACAAGACATGACAAAAAGTTAGGGTGGGTGGAAGAAGACGAGACCAAGCAAATGAATTCATCTACAAAAGAATTATAGCAATGGAGATGTTTTTGGATTGAACCTGTATCTGCCCCACAAATCTTCTCAAAACAATTCTAACAAAAGGGGGTCCCCCAAAGCCATGGCCCTGATAAGCTTTGCAAATTCAGATTCATCCAACACATTCCACGGATACACAGCAGGCGCTTCAACTGAATAAATTTTTCCGCCATTGGCTGATGCATCAGCACGATAAACCATGCTACTGAGAGTAGAGTCAAAATTGAATGGCGAATCCATGGCCAAGAAAAACATTGGCACCGCAAACATGTGATGGAGCTTCATGTCACCCACAAGGCTCACAAGGTCCGAAAAATCGCTCACAAACCTTCGAGGGATATAGAATATTTCTGAATTGCATATAGCTATATGTTCATCACCCATGTTTTCCTTGTAATTGATTTGGGAATGGACAGGAAGGGTACTTGTGACCTTTTTTAAAACATCCACACTACCTTCTTTTAGATACCATGCAGAGGAGTTAGCGTGTGTGGGCACTTTTGTCCATGACTGAGAGACCTGAAATGAATGTGGGTTGTGTATGCTTAAGGAAATTGGGATCCAAAAATAGAAGAGAGAGAGGAGGGGGGGGGGGAGACAAATGCAATGAGTGGGGGATTGAGAAGGTTAGGCTCAGGTCAAAGATTACCTTGTCGGTGATCCATAGCTTTGTCTTATCAGCTTGAATGAGATTCCAATAGTTGATTACAGTGTTGTCTTTCACAAATAGGAATCCTTCAGCATTTGAAAACCTGTCGAATACTTTGGGCAAATACCTGAAGCATCACAAATTACCACCAGGAAGACGACTTTAAATTATGGCCAGAATCATAGTGATACAGAAAGTTGAAATGGTATCCACCAACCCCTCTAAAAAGCGAGAGAGAGAGAGAGAGAGTTGCAGAAAATATATGTGCCGAGAGGGATGCAAGTGGCAACAAGGAAACCAATTCTTCAAAGACCACCATATTTATATGTGACAAAAATTAAAAGAGAGTCAAAAGCAAGAATAATTACAATGTGCATCAAAACATCAAGCAAGACAGAAATTTGTCAACCTAGGTAGGACAAATGGGGATCCACAACAAGCGACGCATAAGCATATTCAAAATGGCTCTCATGCATTTGGACAGTTGGAACAAGCCACAAACCCCTCTAAATCTCATCATCTATGAATATGTTGCAGATCAGTGTTGAAAGTCAATCAGCAAGAAACAGTGCACTGCAGCCAGTTTTGATACCATATTCTCATCGGAATGCATTTGAAACCCCTAATGCATGGCCCCGGCCACCAATACAAACCCTCATAGAGGATGGTTCCTTTGGCAAGGGGATCCAATGTAGCCAGTTTTGGCATTTTTATGGTTTTCGTTTTCTGATCTTCTCCTTGGTAGGATCAGGTGTGATCTTTTGTCATAAACTCTTTTGTTGGCTGATGCATTATTGTTTCAGTCAAACACACAAAAACACTATCTACGCTCTTCATTAAAAGAAAAACATGGTTTGCTTTTTTTGTTGAAAATTTGACTTTGAATTTCTATTACTGTATTGAAGGGTATACATTGTCCTTCACAATAGGGGCTAAAAGAACAAGGTGTTTGCCATAACAAAAAGGCAATTTAGCTACAAGCATTTATGATAACATTCTTTATAAAAGTTAATGTTTTGGAATAAAAGAGAATGTGTTTGTTCATACAAAAGCAAATGAAGCGAAGTGACAGGAAGACCAGCGCATTCCTAACACGAAGATTGTAGTCTGAGATCAACCAGGCACAAGGGCACTCAATTAATCATGGGCTAACAAAGTCCCCTCTGAAACATTACAGAATATAAACTATAACAATTTCAGAATACATAAAATCTTTCTTTTCTGTCATTTGGGTAAATAAAATGTATAGAATCATTTGGGTATAAAAGAATCACCCTATAATATCAAACAGAATGAGAAAATGTAATTCTTTTCTAAATTTGATTAGGGCCAGACATGGGCAGAAAACTTGACAGTTTCACTACTAAATTTTAACAGGCACAATACTTTTGTTTCTTGTTCTTTCTTTTTTCCTTTCTTTGAATGTAGTAACAACCTAAACTACAAAGACTACAAAGAAAAGGTACACATCAAGTTTCACCACATGTGCAGAGTTAGCAACCAGGAGTAGACATGATGTAACCAAGTAACCTGATAGAGAAGCCAAACTGCAAGGAGCCTCTTCCCAATCTCAATTTGGCTCAACAATCCTCTTCCATTTGTGGTTCTGAAAAACATAGTCAATTGTGGTACACAAGCATTGTGTTGAGAACATGGTCATTTATGGTCCTCCATGATATAGGTGCATGAGCATCATATGTCTTGAAGCACCTACCTTTTGGCTTTTGAAACAATGGGACATGTTACTTAGAGAATATCTCAATAATAAAGCCCATTTGGACAGCAGAACAATTTCAACGAGGGCTGGAGTTAATCATAAATCAGGTTTAAAACACTCTTTTTTATAGTTGGGCAAGGTCACAGAGGCTTTGGCCAGGTATCTGTTGACATGTCGGGTTACAAAATTCCGACACCTGTGAATATTGGAGGGAGAAGCAGGGACATTTTTTTGCTCCTTAATGGGTGGAGGTAAAAAGCTGTCCTGTCCCAAGATTTCGTCCATCCAAACAGGGCCTGAGGCTTTCACTTCAACAACAATAGTCAACATCCAAGAGATCCTGCAAAGGATATGCAGCCTGCTACAGAATTGTGCCACTCACTCCCATCAAAGTTAAGCATGGGGATACCATCAGTAAACAAGCCCTATGAGCAACTGGCTTGGATGAGTGGGATACACCCCTAGCACTTGTGTTCCACTTGGGGACCAAATGTTGAGCTTAAGGTACAGGAAATTGAAGCACATTGAACTCACTCTCAAACCATCTCAATGCTTCATTGAACCTCCTAATCTCATCGATAATCTAGTTGTTTCTTTCCATCCACAAACTACAAACAATTGATAACAAAGTCACCTTGTAAATTTAACAATATTGATAAGGGTGATCCACCGAAGGTTAAATACCCACGGAAGTGCAAAAAATTCCAGGAAGAAACTCCAATGCTTCACAAGGAGAAGAACTAATAAGAATGTCCAACCGATTTCACCTGTTTCTGCTTGTGCTTTATAAAGAGCTTCGGCACAAAATAAGAAACGGTCCCTCCAACGAATAAATGGTTGGGAGTTCACATTCTCATCATCCTTGGTAAAAGAAAGTCCACCACGGAGATATTCATAAACCGCTCTACCATAGTTTTTGGCAGATAACCCCAATTTTGGTTTAATAGTACATCGTAATAGGGGACGACCATACTTGTTCAATTTCTCTCCCTCGACTTGGATGCCATGAGGTGGGCCTTGGAAGCTTTTGGAATAAATTCTATATACCAACACATGAAGCACATGATGGGTAGCTGAAAATCAAACATAAGCACTCTTGGAGTAGCAATAGGCCACACAAGGTGTGCCCCGTGCCTCCTGTAATCTAAAAAGAATTACAGAAAGGCTCGATTCATAACTCACCTCAAACATAAGCTTAAACATCCACATTAGAGCTAACTTAACCATTTCCCCATCTTGAAGGTCCTTCTAGAACCAAAAGTGAGATTGACCTGATGCTTAAACTAATAAATTGTATCATTGCTTTTCCCCAAGGATGACAAGTATACCAGATTATTCAATGAGTGGATGTGAGAAGTCAGTGAGTCCATTGTGTAGCAAATTGTCTGCATTCTCTAACAATGCTTTCAACTAAAAAATGGCTCGTAGGTTAGTTAAGAGGAAATGTAAGAACTCTGTGAAACAGTTGCTTTTCGTTGCTAATGATGCTTCTAATAGCAAAGTAACTTCTAAGTTAGATATGGGAAGCGTGAAAGGTTGTCTGGGGAATTTTCTCCTCTCATCTATTGACTGTGTGTCAGAAGGCGTTTGAAAGATGAAGATAATCAAAATGGATTAGGATACATGCAGACTCCTAAGTCTCAAAAAAGTTATTTTCATGATGAACATATCTGAGGGGTAATGGCAAATTATTTTCATGATGAACATATCTGAAGGGTAATGGCAAGTCCAGATATTACAAGACTCACCACTTCATTATTACTACAAGGAGTCAAACTGTCAAACTAAAAACTCCATGAGAATGCTTACCATGGAAGTCCACTACATAGCATACAGCTGGCAAAAACACGAGAAAGATTCCTGCAAGTGTATATGGAATGCCAAATTCTAGTTTATGAGAGTAGAGCCATTAGTCCAAGGGCCATTAATCTGGAAGAAGAGGAGGCATATGGGTCCTCAACAATTACAGATTATACATCCAAGAAACACTTAAAAAGTTCCCATTTGATAAACCCACAAGCATAATGGTGTCTAATACATCATTACCAGAAAACTATTCACAGATCACAGCATCACATAGTAAATACTGAAGAATTAACTGTACAAAATTTTCTCAAATATCTCTATTCCAGTTTCAAGAGATCTTTCATCATCGATCTCCCTTGCTGATAAAGCCTCTTGGACCCCATTCAAGATGGACCAATATACCATCATGAGATAATAACTACTAGTTGAGTTATGAACTATGCACAGGTTAGACCCTTTCCCCATACGGCCTATCACCCTTATGTTTCAAAACCATATGTTTCAGTCTTTCAGACATATTTTTTCCAATCCTTCTGCTCTTATGCATGGGTAAGACCTCCATCGCCATTTACTGTTATCCACCTAGAATGTTAAGATAGTTCTTATCCCCCATTTTATCTTCTCCATTTCGCCCTAACCTCTTACTTTCTGATTCCTTTCTGATTTCTGTGTCTTTTCACTGAGGACATCCATAAAGAGTGCAGTGGCTAACACAAGAATTGGAATTGGAAAGACCAGCTGCCGGTAAGTCGATTAGATTTAGTAGTTACTTCTCTAGGAATTTGATATTTCACCACTCAGAAATAGTAACTTGAGATATATAAGACAGATAAAGAGCATGAATGCCCGGGGACTACATGCTGCAAGTATTCAAACTTCAAGGTTTCAAGTTTCATCAAGAAAGGAAGCCTTTGGATTCTCATATATTCTCAAAAAATAAAGGGAAAATATCTCCTTATTTTTAACTTATGTATCTCTTGAGACCCAATTGAAAATATTACTTGTAAGCAAAAGACCTTCATCTTTTCTATCTTATAACCCCCTGAATCCCTTTGGACATGGAGTTTTGACCCAAACAAAGATTAAATGACACCCTCAAGCCTTTTCAATATCTTCCTTTATATTTTATAATTCGGGGTTTTTACAGCAAATCCTCTCTCTTTGCCCGAACTCTCTCTCCCCAAACTCTCTCCCTCTCTCTACGGAAATGACAAAATCTCATCCACTCTCTCCATTTTTAAGTAAACTCTCTCTCTCTCTCTCTCTNTCTCTCTTCTCTCTACTCGTCGTACGTCGTACG